TTACTGCTATACTGTACATATGTCAAATCTGCAATTGTTAAAGTTGTTTAATTAATTTATAATGTTAAATACTTAAATGTTGATATTACTAATTAGGGCTGTTTATATGAAAAAGCTAGCCCAGCCATATCAACAGGTTGATTACTTTCTTCCCTGTATTGCATTCAAGAATATCTGAAACAGTTGATAAAAATATTTGGTTCAGACCAGGTGTAAGCTGGTCTTTCAGTTATTAAATCAAAATTTTCCTTTGTGGCAGTGGCAACGGACATACTTTCTTGATATAAACAAGACGCTCTGTGGAGCGTTAACTCGCTGGGGCTATACAACTACGCACATTAGTGTACAATGTACATTATACATACAGTACACAGCTCTTTCAATTGAGATTTAAGGTTTTCCCCGAGCTAAGTGGAAAAGTCGAATACGAGCGCAAAAGGCTAATAACACAGTACTAAAATGCAGAAGGCCCTACAAGTAAAGTTATATTTAGTACGCTACATTCTTCTTCAAAACTGTCAGCCGCTAGTTGGTCTAGGATTAAACCGCGCTTTAAAACGTTCAAAATAAAATTTTTTGGGCTCAAAATACTATCAAAATGAAGCGAGGAGTGAGACGAATCCACTGGTATACGGCCGAAAAAGAGAAAACCAATGATGCCAAAGTTATCAAGGGTCAAATGTACTGCATTTTTTTATAATTAGTTTAATAATATTGAGCGAGTGGCAATATTACAATTTCGCTTGGCTTTCAAAGACAAAGGCCATAAATTGCTAGAACACTGTTGTTTAGTAATACACTTGACATTTGTAATTAGTACAATTTCTAATGCTGAATCGAACGGTGGTATTTTTATCCCTATTGATTGGGCCATTAGGCATTACAAAACACTATGAAACGCATTGCGAGCGATTTAATTTCTACAATACAATTTCGCTTCATTTCCAAAGGCCATAAATTGCTACAATACTGGTGCTTAGTAACACATTTGACATCCGTAAGTACAATTTCTTACGCTGAATCGAACGGTGGTATTTTTATCCCTATTGTCCATTAGGCATTCCAAATACAAGGACAAACCTGTGGACAAACGTACTGCAAGCGATATTTCAACAATACAATTTCGCTTCATTTTCAAAGGCCATAAATTGCTAGAATACGGGTCTTTAGTAATACACTTGACATTCGTAAGTACAATTTCTTACGCTGAATCGAACGGTGTTGCTTTCTTCTCAAAATATAAAACAGCGCAGTCAAACGTATAGACTTTTGTAAACTTGCGATTTGCAAAGGTTGCTGTTTCCATGTGAAATTCCTTGTAAAATTGTTCAATTTTCCCGCATTTTCCTCAAAATGGAGGGCTATTTATGGATAATTTGGGTAAAATTGACGGGAGCCTCATGGATAATTGGGGGAAAATTAGGCAGCTCATTAATATTCTATTTTGTGGCTATCGACGATTGGACATCCACCACAAATGTGAGCCCGAAACCTATATTCATCTGGGGCACAGGTGCCCCAGCGAGTAATTAGCACAGATAGCCCGCTTCATACAAACAGTCCCCTTAGTTTCTGTTATTATTAGTTTATACATGAAACTACAGACTACAGTATCATGATTATACTCGTGTTCTATATAATTGCTCTATAAATTTACTTTTATATTCATTCATTATAAAATAACAATTACAAATGTGTAAAAAGTGCAGTACCTTGCAGCTTGTCTTCACAACACTATATACCAATGATAGCTATACAAGTATCATATTCGACCCTCCGTTTCTTCACAATTTTCCAATAAAGAGTTTGTCATACACGTTCAAGTCAGCAACCAGACTGTATCTACTTTATATCAGTTATCACATGCTGTCAAATACCGTCGGTTGCAACTAATGGTGAACAGTTGCAGATAAAACATTCTCTATTCTCATTAAAATGCATGTAAAGGTTTCCACTAGGTCTCTAGCCCAACACCTCCAGACTATACAAAGTTTTGTTACTTATTATTGTACACATGGGAAACAACAATTAAGTGTTGTTGCTCTTGACAAACATTGAAGATTCTGATCACGCGAATATGTTTTTATGAGCGACTGTTCATCGTTAGTTGCAAACGACGGTACAACATACTATCAACTTTTTCCCCCCGCCATGCACGAAGAAGATCCTGGGGACGAGGTTGCTTTTTTCCGACTGTGAGCGAATGTGCAACAATTATTCAAAGTTGTTATCAATTCCTAAAAAAATCCGTTTATAGTAAAACGGCCTGCTCAGTACTCGCGATGATTTCATGTAGAAATACAGTTACCAGGAAAGGAACTGATTCTAAAATATGTAAATTTAAAAGCATTGGCTAACAGTATAAAGCGATGTGAAGACAAGGTATAAACTTTCATAATTGCTATTTGCTATAAAATCTATAAATAAACCAATTCAACAATAATTTTGCCTCGAATTTGCATATTCTATCTGTATGTTTATATTTTTATAGTATAAAAATAAAATTATAATACTATGAAATAAAATACATTTCTGTTTACTGACCAGTATTTAATGTCCACTCCTTCATCCAGTGATCATGTAGTAAATAGAAAGTACATATTTGACAAGCTGTCTGGGTGCCCATCCCCCCCCCCTAGCCATTTTCCTGTAAAGCACATGCCAGGGGTTGGGCATTTCCACTCAAACCCTGGCCAGAGCATTTGAAATTAAGGATTTGGAGGTTTTGTGATCACTGATAACTTGATAATAATATAAAACAAAACACTTTTATCTGAAACTTTTACAATCACTGATAACTTGATAATAATATAAATCAGTCAAGTTGTAGTTTAAAAACTCATAAATTAGAACCACGCTAGAGTATGATGCACAATACGTTGGTAGGTGAAATACATGGACATTAAATCAGAGAGCGTTCACTTGAAAGGCACCAGGGTGTGGGGGGGGGATGGGGTGCCACACCCCCTGATAATTGCTCATGAGCAATTTCAGGTAGATTTCCAGTGGACTTTTAGGTAAATAGACCTTATGCATAATGATATCACAAAGCCCGCAAGGAATGCTGGTCTTAGTAGTCATCGCCCAGGAAAATTTTGATAGTCGCCATTTTGAATTGTTTAATTTTGACTACTAAGACCAGCATTCCTCGCGAGCATCAAGCCTTGTGACGTCATTATGCATAAGGTCTATTCAAGTAGATTTGCAGAAGATTTTCAGTAATTCTTGCTTTCAGTAATTCTTGCTTATGTGGAGACTTAATTATCTATCTAATTACCTACCGTCCTAATTTTAAATAGTAATTCAACATAGGCAGTGACCAACTCAAAAGCATGCAGCTACTTTGGCCACTGGGCACAATCAACACCTTTATATTAACTCCTTAGTATTTCAACTTGTAACTCTTGTAATTAATGTTTGTAATCTATTGTGGAAACGTGTTTAATTAAAAAATTGAATTTGTATTCTCTGGCAAATAGGCACAGGCATCCCTATTCAAAGCATGATTACTTGTATTTATATGCCACGCTTCTAGGTATAGTCTTTGACCATAGTGATTGTTTGTGGTAATTACTTTAGACTTTTCCCATGCAATCTTGTGTTTGGTGTAACATACATGTTCTGCTAAAGCTGATTTTCCTTTGTCTAAATTTGAAACAGCCTTGAAACTGACCAAAATGCTCTTTCTCACAGTCATCGCATGGTATAGAATATACAGCACGAGTTTTCTGATTTGTTTTAACAGGATCCTTTGGCTTTGTGAAAATATGGCCTAATTAAAGTCAAATAGGGTTTTAAGGGCAACCTTAATTCTCTTGATTGGCTCTGTGACCCCTTGAATGTATGGAACTATTGCATAACCCTTAACAGAGGTATCACCCTCGTAGTTATTAGTGAGTTTACAAAACTACACATTTTGGTGCCGGCGCCATGAGTTGTCCACAACATGCGACGCCAGGAAACAGCACGTTAAGAACGCGTCCTGAATTTTTCAAGATGGTGGATAAACAGGAGATTGAACAGAAGACATGAAGGTAAGAATTTCACAGTTTTAGTTGTTTAAAGGTGTTTTGTGTTCCATACAATTAACTTAATAAGATTATAGGATTAAATTCAAATCTTATAGTAGGTTTATGCTGACAAAGAGCGAGAATATCGAAGACAGAACACCAATAATTTATATACGAACTTGATTTTCAAAGTAAATGAAATATTAGCTCAGTTGTAATATATTAATAAACATTTTATAGCCATTATGGCTGTTTCGAGCATTATGAAACAAATTAAAATGGTAATTTGAGTTAAATAGTTGGCTAAAAGTGTTTTGTAATAGTGTGATGTATAAATGTGGGACTGGGAATCATGCATTTTGATTTTAATAGTATATTTTGGAAAGTTTATTAGATCAATAAATATTAAATAGAATAGAAGCCTGAATAGAAAGACATGTTTCCTTTTGACCATCTAGTATAGTAAAAACCTCAACAGGGATCCTATGATAGGATGCATACTGATTACTGTTCTTCAATTTAGAGGCTCCTATTAAAGTTATAGGCTCTTGTTTAAGTTAGAGCCACTTCTTGATGTTTCTTCTTCACGTTGGTGTCCTGGCCTCAATATCTGCTATGTGTTTTGTGACTAATTTAGTCATTTGTAATACATATGTTCTTATATCCCTATTTTAACATTTTGTTCATTCATGATTTTAGCAAGAAAGCAATGACCTGGACGGATGAACATAATGAAGTACTAATTCGTGAAATGTTTTTATTTTAACCATGGAACTATAAAAAAGGATCGCAGCAACGGGGGGCCATGCTTAGGAGATGATCAGTGATTCACTAAATGATCTAAATACTCCAAAGTTTAGTGTGAAACAAAAATCTGTTCGAGACCACTACACTCTTCTCCAGAAACACCAGAAGAGGAGATTGAGGGAAGAGGAAAAAGCTTTGAGAATCTCTCCCAAGCCATCGGAAGTAGAAATCGCCATAGAGTAGATGATTGAATTGTTTAGGAGTAGGGATGATGATGATAGAGTATTGGAAGAGAAACAAAAAGAAAATTCTGTTGCAGAAGTAGGAAAGGCAGTAGAAATGAGGCAACTCTCAATGGAAACATTGGCTGAAAGCAGAAAAAGAAAGTCTGAAAGTAAAGATGGTGAGAAACCTAAAAGAAGAGTGTCAACCACTGGTAGTGAAACAATTGCCTATTTGCAAAAGAAGTCGGATGTAGATGCCCAACTTAAGAGGGAGGAATTGAGGTTGAGACAAATTGAAGCTGAAGAAAGAAAGCAACAGCAAAATAATATTACTTCACAGCAGGATGCTCTTACTAAAGCCTTGACTGACAGCATTGCTGCACAACAAATGCAACAGGAACAACTCGTGCATCAAATGAATGCAACTCCCAAAATACAGCTCTCCTGTCACTGATGCAGAGAATTACTAAGATGTTACTGTAGTTATATGTTCACTTGTTATTGTTATTGTTATTTTAGGTAAAACATTATTTCTTGATGTTCCAGGGCCTGTTTTAATACCATAGACTGGAGGGGGGATTTTTCTCCCCAGCCCTGTTTTGGTCCTTCCAGTGAACTATGTTCCCCCAGTTAATTGAACAGGGCTTCAGGTCCTTTTTGTCTAAAATATAAGCAAAAAGGGGATACATGTACGCTGCTCATTGCTCTGTTCCATTTTTGTTGTTCAGGAGTTATTCTTGCTCCTTTGAATGGGCATTGTAATTGAGGTCGATCAGGATGGGCAGGGTCACCATAGATACAAACAGGATTTTCATTTTGTAAGGGATCTAGCTGTTGAAGCTTAAAGTATAAATCAGACTGGGCAAGCACTGCGCTATCATGGCGTTTACCCTCAACTGGGCCAAAGAGGTTAGCCACAAGAAGACCATTAGGGACAGCCAATGATTGGAACTTCATTGCATGTACTTTCTTGTGGCCATTATAAAGAACCCTTTGATTTTTGCCAGGTTTACAAATAGGACAAACTGCCCCATCAACAAAACCAAAACAATTTTCCAAGGCACCACTCTTCTGAAACACTGCCTGACAAAATTATTCTATATTGTCTGAAGTTAACCAAGGTTGATCAAACATTGAAAGCAAATGGTTCTATTGAGTGTATAAAAAGCTCATGACAGCATTACTGATCATGCAAAGTTGAGGAACGGGTCTGCCAAATCTTGGCATCATATCCACGTATCAACAAGGATAAGCAAAGCGTTTCAAAAATATGCGCAAAGCCTCCACTCGGTCTACCAACAGGCTGTTATAGCATTTGATGACTTCCGGTAGCTTCATAGCATCTACTAGAATGTAAATGTAGCCTTTCAAAAAACGAAATTCTGTTGTACACTTGTTGTCACTTAATTTGTCCAAGTCAAACTCATCATATTTCCAATAAGGCAAATCTGGACTTTTGGCTGTATATAAGTCGAAAAGCAAAATAAACTCTTCATCATCGATTAAACTTTCAGAATTAGCGTATAAAAGATGATCTCGAACTGTTCTCCACTTTGGCATTTTCGTTTCCGAATTTTATTTTAAAAACAATGATTTTTTATATAGATTCCCCCCAAATTTTCGGGAAGTGACGTTGTCGTGAAAAGAATCGACTACATAAACTAAAATCATTCTGTGTGGCCATTGAGAAGTCGCCGTCACAAAAAATCATGCATCGTAAACTCGCTATTTTGGTTCCTACAAACAGGTGATCTGAGGCAATCATTAAGAAAACGTTTTGGGTAATCGTTTTCCCCTACATATTCACATTTAGAAATATTCATTGGAACAACCTTGCAACAAGTCTGATAACAACTTGGGACAAGCAGTGCAAAGACAACTTGTTGGCAGACTTGCTACAGATGCGAGACTTTTGCATGTGTATGAGTGTGGCAGCTAAATCACGCAATCCCCACGTGCTGCCATGCATTTGTATAATTTGCAAATCAGAAAAGTCTTATTTCACTGAATTGGTAAGTTTATTGATTGATTTTTTTGCAATTGTTATTTTTTCTAATATGTGTTTTATAATTATATATTGATTACATTGCCTCCCATTATAACGGCACATTGTTAGATCGCTTGTGTCTTGTTCTCAGAGAATACCGTCATCTGCATCAATGCTATGGTGGAAGTTGGAAAACGATGTTAAAAGATTGCTTCGGTGGAGTCTTATGGAATTCCGTAAAAATTGTTCTATTGGTGGACTCTATACTTATTGTTGTTTTTATTATTGTGAGTGGTAAGCCTTGGTTTCAGCCAAGCTATCTTGGGAAAAACAGCCACAGTACACAACCAAATGACAATCAAGGTGAAAAGCATGAATGCAAGTATGACGAATCATTCAATGTCTTCTGTGAAGAATTCGTTAAAGAAAACCGATTAAGCAGGAGAATATATTTTCAAAGATAGCGAGACACAATGTTTGGCCAAAACCACTCAAAATTTTAATCAGGCCAGAACAACCAGACATCTGCCAAACGGTCATTGCTGTAACATACGTCATAGCGGAACATACGTCATAGCGGAAGTAAAATGGACAGAGCACGTTGTTGTTGTCTTGATAGTGTACAAAGTGTAGGGTAAAAATATATATGTTGTTTTGTGTGGTTTTATATGTGATTGTTTTTACCGTTTCAATGAGAAATACGAGAGAAGTAGTATGAGTAAAGAACGATTAACACATGGCGCCCAAGGTGAAACATATAAGTTATTTATTTGAACTGTTTTGAGCGAAAAATTTAGTCAAATGTCGAAGGAAAATTGAGAGTGACTTCGCGCCAAAAGAGGCGGTTATCGCGGGGTGACAACCAAGCTGATAAAAGAATCACTCGAGATTCTTGAGTCAACCTATGTAGATATTCAACGATGCGAAGTTATTTCCAAACAACTCGAAGATAAAATGACGATTTTAAAAGAATTAAATGACGAAATTCTTGGTATATGCGAAGTAAGCGAGATAGAACACAAAATCGAAGAAGCGGCAGTTGTTATTGACCGAATTCTCAACACAAAAAGCAAAATCGAAGCAGCAAAGAAGATGCCCAATGTGGAAAATGTTAGCGTTGTCACATCACCGACCATTAGTGCTATAACTCAAATCGAAAACAGCTTGAATATGAGCGAAAATACAGGTAATTTAGCGACCAACAGTGAAAATAGCGTGACAGATAATAGTGTAAACAGTGCGAGTAATGTTGACACTAATACGAGCAATATTGCAACAAGTAATATTAATACAAACACGAGTTCGCTGAATGTTAGCACCCCCGTTAGTCCTGTCAGTGTGCCAACATGGTTGACATTGCAGAAACTGCCAAAGGTCGAACTTCCAAAATCCCAGCATGTTCTGAAGGCCGAACCGGACAGTTAAGATTTATTTTTGACAAAATAAGTGTGCATGTTTGTGGACTTGCATAACTGGGAATTGCCACTGACCAATATGGTAGCTTATTGATCCCTGTAATCATGTCCAAATTGCCAAGGGAAATTAGGTTGCTTGTAGCACGTAAAGCAACAGATAATGTTTGGCAAATCGATGATTTACTCAAACTATAAAGTCAGAGGTCGAGGCAGGAGAGATGAGCGAGATGGCTCGCTCGAATGCAAGTGAGAAAACCCCCAACAAAAAACAGGGCTCACTTCCAACTGTGGGTTCCTTTGTCGTAACAAAAAATGGCAAGGACGGTGAAGGTAGTTTTAAGGTTAGATGTGCATTTTGCCATGAATTACATGCGAAAAGGTAACAGACAGAGATAGTCGATTGAAACTTTTGCGGGATTCGAATCGTTGCTTTGTTTGTCTAAGGATAGGGCACCGCGCAAATACGTGTGATACCACAAAGAAGTGTCGACATTGCTCTGGACAACAGCACCAATCTATTTGTAATAACCCTAGCAACAACCGTCAACAATGTGATGACAAGAAAGTTCCCGAGAACCAAAATTCTAATAAAGGTCCCGAAGGTTCAGACCCTCCCACTACCGCAGCTGTTACCCAGACAACCAAAGGAAGTGTTTTGTTGCAGACTGCCAGAGCTACTGTATCGAATGGGTCAAGATTAGTTCCTGCCCGTATATTGTTTGATACCAGAAGTCAAAGGTCTTACATCTGGAAGTCGGTTCAAAATCGATTAAGGTTAAACCCGATTGGAAAAGAAACCCTTCAACTAAACACCTTCGGCGAAAGCAAGTCTAAACGAGAAAACTGTGAAGTGTGCAAGGTAAACATTGCAAACAAGAACAATGGCAAAAGTATAGAAATTACTGCAATTGGTTTTCCAACGATTTGTGCACCCCTTCTCGCTAAGGTAAACATAAGCAACAGTTTAGGCAAAACCCGGTTGGATTGGTGGCGGACATTGAGAAAGCGTTCTTGATGATCGGAATCAACGAGGAAGATAGGAATATGCTAAGATTTTTATGGTTAAAGGATGCTAAAGATCCACACTCTGAAATTCTGAAGCTTAGATTTTGTCGGTTGGTTTTTGGCTTACGACCCTCTCCGGCAATCTTGGGAGCCACCATTCAGCATCATCTAGAAACACGCGAGAAGCAGAAACCTAAAATTGTTGAACATCTAAAGAAATCACTATATGTCGATGATTTTGTATCGGGAGCTGAAAATGATGAAAGGGCACTAGAAATCTACAAGGGTTCGAAGCAGTTGATGAGTACAGGAGGATTCAATTTAAGAAAATGGAGTTAGAATTATGATAATGTAGTGAAGGCCATAGATGCATTGGAAAGCAGCGAAACAATGAATAGTTCAACCAATAGTAAGTCCGACGTTGTTCAAGAGGACTTGTCATATACAAAGTCGACAATTGCAAAGGAATCCACTGTAACCGATCCCACACAAGTGAAGGTCCTGGGTATGGCATGGGACACTGCTGAAGATAAGTTTTTGTTCCATTTGGAGGAACTGGTCGAGCACGCGAAATCACTTCCTGTTACGAAGAGATCATTGTTAAAGTGGTCATCAAAGATCTTTGATCCATTAGGATTTTTATCTCTGTTTACGATAAAGCTTAAGATTTTATTCCAGGTAATGTGCTTGGATTGACTGGGACAGTGAATTGCAAGGAGATGCAAGTAAGCAGTGGGATGCTTTGATATCAGAGCTAGAATTCCTTAAAACGGTCCGAGTGCCAAGATGTTATTATATTTCCAATCAGAATCGTCTCATTACGCAAATTCACAAATTTAGCAATGCGTCCGAGCGTGCAATTGTCTACACGAGAACAGTTTACAAGAACAGTTGCGTTGACATGAAATTAATGGCATCGAAAACAAGAGTTGCGCCTGTCAAGAAGCAAACAATTCCCCGTTTAGAACTGATCGGTGCAACATTACTAGCGAAGTTAGTAAGTTCGGTGTTGAGTGCACTCGAGTGGAATGTGGAAATATTCTATTGGGTTGACTCAATGACTACACTGCACTGGATACGAAACAGTCGTATTTGGAAACAATTCATGCAACATTGAGTGAACGAAATAAGAAGTCTTTCACCTGTGGAGGCTTGGTGTTTTTGTCCAGGATCCTTGAACCCGGCCGATTTGCCTTCGCATGGCATTTCTGCTCAGGAACTTTCGAACAAATCATTATGGTTTAAAGGACCCGAATTCTTTGTTAATGACGAAGACCAGTGGCCAAAATGTCCAGCTACTAATAAACCAGAACCAGATGAAGTATTGCGAGAAGTTGCTAAACAACCTTCGAAGTTATAACGAATGACAAACAGTCCACCGAATTTGATCTTGACAAGGTGATAAATAGCAATCGTTTTAGCTCGTTGAGTAGACTTCTTCGTGTCATGGCTTACGTGTTGAGATACATTAACACCTATGTAATTTCATGAAAAAGTGAGTGTAGTGTAGAGTATAGTGATCAATTTCTACATGTACAAATAAGAAATCTTAACTTACATCAGAATACTCGATGACAGAACTTCCATCAACCTTGCCTCAGGTAATCTGGATCCAGAACGTGGTGTGAAAGTGAATAATTATCCACTACTTAAACAGGTGATTTTCATTTCATTAATAAAATTTCCATCCAGGAAAATTCAGGAATGGAAAAAAATGCCGATGTTTTTGTAATTTTCAGAGAACCCAAACAAATGAATTGGGTCATTCCAGAAAACCAAAACAAATAAAATTAAAAGGGACAGCTAATCCTCACTTTCATATTCCAATGAACCATTAGCGCACATATGAATCACTAGAAGCCGAACAGCTTCTAAAGACTTTGCTCTACAGTGTGTATCAAAATAATTCGAATCCAAATTTGACAGACTGCTGTTTATAAAATACTAAAGTAAACGATATAATTTGTATATGGCAATAAAGAATAGCGCTACTATTAGGTTTCCGATTATATCGATTATAAAATGAGCAAGTAATTGTCTGTTAAAAGTGGTTGCTCGAAATCAAATGTTTCCGCCGATGGGAATTCGAAGTGAGACGTACAGACAAAATATAATGCAAATTTAATTAATCAACAAACTGTTATGTAGCAACATTTACATACATTCGTGTTTATTTAAAGAGATTTAAGCTCCTATGCCTTCAACATGTCCTCCATTTCTGTCAATGCAAGTTTGATAGCGTCGAAGGATGCCTTGAACTGCTCGTCGAACCATCGCTGGATTGTTCGCCAAAAGAGCAACTTGATTACCATGATGAGTCGATTACCAAACAACTCTCTTAGGCGAGCAGTAACAGCACAAAGACGATGTGCTGGGGCCCCGTCTTGAACCCACCAAAGATGTCTGAATGTACCCCCCACTTGCATCTCAAAATGCTGCAAAAGCTGCAGGAACACATCAGTGTTAATCATTTGCAAATAATTTAGACCGTTTACACTTCTTTCGAAAAAGAACGGACCAACTACTTGTCCACTTCCACACAAACCAAGCCAAACTGTCCATTTCTGCTGGCTGCAACTCACATCGTAGTTGAAAGCTGGAGGGTTTCCAGCTGGAGCATATACACGGACGTTTCTCGAGTTAACTTGGCCGTTCATGCAGAATGTAGCTTCATCGCCAACAACAAAATTACGAAGGAAATTTTTGTTTCTTCTGCATCGCTCTGTTAACCACCTTGCGAAATTTAGCCGTCTTTGAAAATCGCGTGGTAACAATTCATGCTGTACGTGCATGCGACATGGGTGTTGCCGCAAATCTAATCGGGTAATCCTGTTAAAAGTGGCGGATGGTATTCCAACTCCGTTACATCTAGCACATGTACCAGTTTGGTGCTCTGCGAGCCGATTTCTCACCAACTCAATATTTTCTGCAGATCTTCCAGTCCTTTGTCTGCCAGAATTTCCCTTGTTACGATTTAGGCTTGTGCCGTCTGCTCAAATTTTCGCACGTTGTACCAGATGGTACTAAGTGCCAAATTTTGTCTTTCCGGAAATCTCTATCTGAACTGATTGCGTGTTTCTTGTAAGCTACCAGTTTCGTAAAACGTTTTCACAATAAATGTGCGTTGTGCAATGCTTAACTGAGCCATCGTGTTTGTTAAGAGGACATTTTTACAAAATCGCGTATTTTTTGCGCAAAGCGCTCAAAACTTAGCGACCAGGCCTTCCCTAAAATCCTGCCCCGCCATCTTGGTTTTAAAAATTTCCCAAAATTTGCGAAGACAAATAACAGAATTTTACTGGATTTTTGGCTGTGTCACGAGGCAAAACATTGCCAAATATAAATAAAGATAACATGGTAAGTGTAATATCGTATTTAGTAGCTGTTATTTAAATTATTATTATGTAAATATGCACATGTATCGGACTCAGGAGTGACCATTTCATTCAAAGAGGCATCTATATTTACTGATTAAAAGTGTCTGCTTTCGTCTTTTAAATGATGGCCGGCCTGTTCACAACTCGTTTACAATATAGGTACATGCATAATTTTAAAGGAAGAATTTGAGTATTTGTAAATAATCCATTTTAATACTTCGAAGTTCGAATCAGTTTTTTTGCCTCTGGTACTGTTGCACATTTCCATAATATTTATACTGTAAAAACATTAATTTTAAACTTCAAAATGTTTCGTACACATGCAGCTGTTCTGCTGTTGCAGTGCTTCAGGTATACCATGCTATAAATCACTACAAGTTTCCTTTCTGATACAAAGAATCATGATGTACATCTGGTATATGATTGTATACAGTATACTAAAGTATAAATTGGAAACCAAACTTTCATATGGGATGTAGGTAACAATTGCAACTGGAATTATTAGTTGAAACAACCTACTTTCCCACATGCATGTAACCCGATGTGGTACGAGGGTTGCTAAACCAGGGCTGGTCATAAAGCAGGGCCAGGATGCATCATCACTATGGACCCCAGATGCTGAACCCCCTCCCCCAATATCCCCAAGTAAATCTATCCCACTACTACACAGAAGAATACTTCTTTCCCTTTGAGTTAACAATGAAAGTATATTTTTTACAGATCTCTGCGATATTACTTTTACAACCTTGAAGATATGATTACGATGACAGATGTCTGTACATTGTGGAGTATTTTGTACATCCTATGAACTTTTTGTAACAATAGATAAATTTTTATCATAATTTATCTGTAATTTAATAAATATTCATTTCATCTTGTTTCATTTCTTGTTTTCTTTAATAGCCTGCAAGAAAAGATCTTCTTAGAAAATCTGATATTTTTTTGAAAATTTACAATGTATATACATGATCTAATTGCCGTAATTGGTACATGGCCAGGCCCCACCCCAAATGTACATAACCATTTTGGGTTAAAAATCATCACAACAAATTTGTGTGACATTTAATTAACCAGGTTTAACAGAATAACAGAATAAAGAAGCATCACTGACTTAAAATCTCTATTATACATCATATTTACATTAGATATTGTTGTGAATACTGTAATTCTGGTTGATTTAAAAAATGTTGAAAAACGACCTTCGACCTACCACCTCAAACTTAATCAAACTATGATTTTTGTAAACTAGCATACCTAGGGTAAATGCCGAAATATATCTTAGATTGATCGGAAACAGTTCTCAGTTAATTTTTAACCATTAAACGTAAGGTAAATGTTTAGACCCATGAACTCCATATTGGCCAAATTTAGCCTACATGAAAACCAAATATTTGAGAGACAGAACATGTTCAAACAATCTACTGTATAATCACCATAGAAATATAAAATGGACTGAGAGCTATGTTTACACAGCTTACAGTATAAGATTTCACTTTATATTCAATGAACAAATAGCAATACTGGGCTATTCAGTAAATACATGTTGTTGAATACTGTAATTCTGGTTGATTTTAAAATGTTGAAAAACGACCTTCGACCTACCACCTCAAACTTAATCAAATTATGATTTTTGTAAACTAGCATACCCAGGGCAAATGTCGGAATACATCTTAGATTGATCGGAAACAGTTCTCGGTTAATTTTAACCATTAAACTTAAGGTAAATGTTCAGACCCATGAACTCCATATTGGCCAAATTTAGCCTACATGAAAACCAATGGATTTTAGAGACAGAACATGTTGAAACAATCTATAATCACCATAGAAATATAAACTGGACTGAGAGCTATGTTTACACAGCTTACAGTATAAGATTTCACTTTATATTCAATGAACAGATGGCAATACTGGGCTATTCAGTAAATACATGTTGTTGAATACTGTAATTCTGGTTGATTTTAAAAATGTTGAAAAACGACCTTCGACCTACCACCTCAAACTTAATCAAATTATGATTTTTGTAAACTAGCATACCTAGGGCAAATGTCGGAATATATCTTAAATTGATCAGAAACAGTTCTCGGTTAATTTTAACCATTAAACTTAAGGCAAAGGTTCAGACCCATGAACTCCATATTGGCCAAATTTAGCTTACATGAATATCTATGGATATTAGAACCAAAACATGTTCAAACAATCAAATAATCACCATGGAAATATAAAATGGACTGAGAGCTATGTTTACACAGCTTACAGAATAAGATTTCACTTTATATTCAATGAACAGATGGCAATACCGGGTTTATTCAGTAAATACATGTTGTGAATACTGTAATTCCGGTTGATTTTAAAAATGTTGAAAAACGACCTTCGACCTACCACCTCAAACTTAATCAAATTATGATTTTTGTAAACTAGCATACCTAGGGTAAATGCTGAAATACATCTTAGATTGATCGGAAACAGTTCTCGGTTAATTTTAACCATTAAACTTAAGGTAAATGTTCAGACCCATGAACTCCATATTGGCCAAATTTAGCCTACATGAAAACCAATGGATTTTAGAGACAGAACATGTTCAAACAATCTATAATCACCATAGAAATATAAAATGGACTGAAAGCTATGTTTACACAGCTTACAGTATAAGATTTCACTTTATATTCAATGAACAGATAGCAATACTGGGCTATTCAGTAAATACATGTTGTTGAATACTGTAATTCTGGTTGATTTTAAAAATGTTGAAAAACGACCTTTGACCTACCACCTCAAACTTAATCAAATTATGATTTTTGTAAACTAGCATACCCAGGGCAAATGTCGGAATATATCTTAGATTGATCGGAAATAGTTCTAGGGTAATTACAAGTGGTGGACATCAGTTTGGCACTAAACTAAAATAACTTATGTGTTCATTTTATACTTAATTAGGCAGAAATAAAATAACTTTTTAAGTCAATTTTGAGAGTTTAGATTTTGG